CACAGCAAAGATGGCAGTCTAGCTTGTAGGAGACAGCAAAACAGAAAATCTACCTAAACCAAGAGAATCCCTGTATACTCACCAGTCTAGGTATCTCTTTCCTGTCCTTGACTTCCACTCTTCTTCAGAGTATTCTCCATTCAGCTTCTTTGGTGGAACCCTTTACCCAGAATCCTCAGCTTCTCCATCCACTATGCCTTAAGGCTCTAGCTTATTTCCTGCCAATTGGAGCCCACATTGATCTCTTCTTCTCTAACAACTTTTGCCTTTGTTGGCAGCACCACACAATTAGCACATATTTTTAAATATTCTATTATCTAATGATATGAAATACACAATTTAACACGTTCTTACAATTAGGCTTACCTCACCAGGCTTTGAGGGTTTATTGGACACCTTTTCGGCTTTGCTTCGTATCTTCTTGGCCTACCTTTTATTCCAACTTTTCTGCAGCAACCAAAGAATAAATAGACAAGCATTGTGTCTCAGTTTGACCATGAGTCTTTTATGCTCTCTAGCAGGAGCTTCTCTGATAATCTGGCTGGATATCTACACAAACCCGCTTAGCATTCACACTCACACAAACTTAGACACTCAGAGAGACTAACGCCCTTCGGGCTACCCGTGACTAATAAGGATGGCAACAGATGGGTAGAGTTGCTTCTCTTTTGCTCCTTTGGCAGACAATTCTGAGACACATTCTCAATGGCCCACAATGATGATCAGTTGATAATGTCCATTTTTGTAGGCTTTCTCTACAAGGGAATTTGGGGAAGAGGCATATGGACGGACTTACAAGGAAAGGCATAAAGAGTGAGGATGATTGATTCTCATGTTAATTCGCATGAGCATCCTTCACAGTGAATCAACAGAGTGTCAACAATCAAGTAGAGAGGATGACTTGTCTTCTGGATGTCAGTGCCTCTCTCCATGGCCACTCCTTGTGCAATGAGTTCATGAATGGCCCGACCAGGGTGTCAGGAATAAAGCCTAGGCATGGACACAACAGCATCAACTCCCTTTCACTGAAGCTGATATAGGTCCTGCCATGGCTGAATATTCACCCTGCCAGCAGTGCAGACTAGCACAGGTAAGGCATCATCCTTCAGGAGACTAGCCAGTCAGTTGGTGACAAGTTTATTATATCAGAGCCAACTCCATTATTGGAATTGACACCTATTTTTGGTATAGTTTTGCCTTCCTTTATCTCATTACTATGGCCAACACCACTATCTAAGTACTTACATAATGCCTTCCTTACTGAAACTGGATCTCACACAACATTGCCTCAGATTAAGGGACCCATAATAGTAAGGAATGGTGTGACAATGGGCACATGACCATGGGGTTGATTGGTCTTACAATGTACTTCATCACCCAGAGATAGCTAGCCTAGTAGAATAATGGGATGGTGGGTTAAAGTTTCAGCTAAGGTGATAGCTTGGGCATAATACCCAATGCGCCTGGACTGCATCCTCCAGCATGCAGTATATACACAGAACCAACAGTGCTGATTCTTTTATAGCTAGAATACATGGGTCCAGGAATCAATGGGTAGAAGTAGGATTGGTTACTTTCACCATTATTCTCAGCAACCCACTTGTGAAATTTTTATTAAGGGCAATTTACCCTGATTACCAGTATTCTGAAGAACTCGGGTTGCTACAACATAATGGAAGTAATAGGGAAGAAAGGAGTATGTCTAGGACATAGAGATTCAATGGGGCATCTCTTGGTGATAACTCTATGCCCGATTATAACTGTAAATGGGAACTGCAGCAACCTCAGCCCAAAGAGGCTAAAGCAACTCAGACCCTTTGGGGATGCAGGTCTGGATCACTACTCCCTGAAAGCAACCTAGACCAGCTGAGGTGTTGGAAAAGAGCGAGGGAAGTCTTGAGTGTGTGGTGGAAGATGAAGATGATAAATATCCATTATGGCCTTGGGACCATTTGTAGAGGTGGGGACTGGAGCTCATTGCATTAGCCATTTTATACTAGGAGTTAAGTCTTGAAGGCCCTATGAAGGAAAACAAAGCAGAGTAAGGGGATAAAGAATAGCAGCATGGGTGACTATTTAAAAAGAGAGACCAGGGAAGCTTTCTCTGACTATGTGACACTTGAGCAGAAAACGAAATGAAGTAGAAGAGCAAGCCTGATGAGTATATGGGGAAGAACATTCCAGAGAGAGAAAGTAGCAAGTCCAAAGGTTCCAAAGCAAGAGTGTGCTTGGTGTATTTAAGGAGGCTAGTATGGCTGGAGGGGAGTGAGCAAAGGAGAGTGGTTAGAGATGTGATCAGGAAGGGTAACTAGATCCTAGACCATGAAGGTCTTTGGAGTGAGGACTTTGGATTTCATTCTGTGTGAGAAAGGGAGCCATCAGCAGCTTTTGAGAAAATGACATGATGCATCTTACATTATGCAGAGCTTCTGGGTGCTCTGTGGATTGGCTGCACGGCGGGTGGGGGGGGGCAGGGGGGTGTCAAGAATGGGTAGAGGGAAACCGTTTAAGAGACGACCACAATAGAGTATCTGGATCTCATTTCAGATGGGTTATCTGGGTGCATAGAGCAAAGGCATTGCTGAACATTGGGTCTTAGATTTAGAGTGGTATTACTATTCTTCAGGGCTGACTTTAAGCTATTTCTGAGCAAAAACCCAACTCTTTTACTTCATACAAATCTTTTATAATGCATAAGGTAGCCCAATGGCTTTGGAGGTGAAGGCTTGGGAAATGCCTATGATTTGGTGATTAAAATATCTATTTAGCCTTTGCTAAGAATTCAAATGAGTAATGTCTCTGCATTGAAAAACATAAATGATATGTAGTTCTCAAAATCAGGCCTATCACTGTAATATAGATACCCTGATGCCAGTAGGTATGCCCCTTGCTACTTATATATCTTCTCTTTTAATTCCCATAACCACCCTGTAATGTGGGGGTACTATGTGCAAGTTTATAGATGAAGAAACAGATTTGGGGGAGTTGTGGGGTTAAGTCGCCAAAGGTCATTACTGAATAAGGGAAAGAGCTCTGGATCAAGGGGTGATTCCAGAGCCCACACTCAACAAGGACAACTCTGAACTACTCACCACAGAGAATTCTGAGGCATGCCCTCATTCTTTAGTGGCCAAATCTTATTTTTTATGATCTTTCAGATTCTTTTGGTTATGAAAATTAACTAGCATTAATAGGAAGAGTTGATTTTTTAAAGTTTCATTTGCTTGGAAGAACACAATTGAGGCAGTTAGTCCATTTGTTTATTAAGATCCCCTAAGTTAGAATGTTCTTTTTGCTGCTGCAAAGTCATTTGATACAATGACAAGAGTGGGTGGGCATTTCATTCTGAGCTCCTTTTATGATGTCTCTTGCAGTTATCCTGCTTTGTGACTTTCTTTTTCCCAGAAAGCCATTGTACTCCCCATTCCTACTTAAAAAAAAATCATTAGTATCATTGCATCCCAGAATAAGGAAAAAAGGAGATGTGTGATCTGCCCATGAGTTTGAGTAGTTGGCCCACATGAGCTCAGCCTTTTTTCATGTGCTGGCTGTGCGCCTGTCCGCATGCTGGGGAGGAGAAGCTCATTACTGCTCATAGCAACCAGGAAACAGGGCTGGGCAAAGGGGAGAGGGAGACCAAAGGCCCAGAGAGCTCCCACCAAATTGGATCCTGGAGAGTCAGATACTGAGGCCTCTACTAGAGTTACTCAGCAGCCACTTGCTGTTTACAATGAAACTGCAGGAATAAAAGAGGTCATTCTGGTGGACTGGAGCATCGCCCGGTATTTGCCCATGGACGGAAGAGTCATGGTGTTGGCTTCATACTGCATGTGTGCAAAAGTCACAGACCCTCCTTTGCTCAGCCTGTTAATACCCAGTTTTGATGTTTTGTTGAATCTGGAGCTCTCCTAGAAGCATAATGAAGTGCCTGCAACTCAGAAAATCTTTCAAAGCTTTGACACTGCACTTCCCTTTCGCTCCTCCTTTCCGCTTCTATCTTCTTGGCCGCCTCCACTGTTTGTGTTCATGAACTTCTGCCACTGGACTTGGTGTGCCCTGCCTAAATGGCATTTCAACATGGATGTCCCCAGGTGCCTAGCATCCTTGCCTAGATTAACGTGTCAGTGGCATATGGCACAAATGGCCTGTCGTTCGGCCTCAAAATCAGTTTAAAATATCTGCCAGGCTGCTGGCTCCTTTGGCATAATGCCCCGTGGCCCCAGTGCTTGAGGAAGGAGAGCAACACTGAAAATTATTTAGAGTGAATTTTCTTATATAAGAGCCAGAATCCAACTGTCTGCTTTTCCCTTTTTCTCTCTCATTTCCTCCTGGTATCTGAGCTAGAGATATAAGCATACATTCTCCTCTCTCTCTCTCTCTCTTTTAGTTTTTGTGTTTTTATTTTAATGGTCTTTATTTATTTATTTTAAATTCTTTTGTTAAATCTCACCTGAGGATATTCTTACACTGATTTTTAGAGAGAGTAGAGGAGGAGAGACAGAGACAGAGAAAGAAATATCGATGTGAGAGAAACACATCAGTTGGTAGCCTCCCACACAGGGATCGAGACTGCAACTGAGGTGCGTGCCCTTGACCAGAATCGAACTCGGGACCCTTCAGTCCATGGGCCAACGCTCTATCCACCGAGCCAAACAGGCTAGGGCCGTCCATGGTCGGCAAACTACGGCTCAAGAGCCACATGCGGCTCTTTGGCCCCTTGAGTGTGGCTCTTCCTAAGCCTTAGGAGTACCCTAATTAAGTTAATAACAATGTACCTACCTATATAGTTTAAGTTTAAAAAATTTGGCTCTCAAAAGAAATTTCAATCGTTGTACTGTTGATATTTGGCTCTGTTGACTAATGAGTTTGCCGACCACTGGGCTAGGACAATAAGCATACATTCTGAAGTTGAGTGCTGTTTGAGAATAATTTTCACTGTGTAGGTTCCCTTTTTGGCCACACATCCTGCTCTTTTTCCATAACAAGAAGTACCCAGCTTGTGCTTTTCAAACACTGTTGTATTTGATCCTCTTAAAAGACCCAGTGTAGGTCTCAGCTACTTTTTTGCAGATAAGAAAAAATGAGGCAGAGATTTTCAAATGTTGCCAAAGCATACTAGAGAGAAGTGGCAGAATAACAATTCAAACCCAGGTCTATCTGACCCCCACAGTCCAAATTCTTTTCAGCCTGTTATATCCAGGCAGAGCCCATTGCCTGAACTGTGTCCACATCCACACAACTCTGGGGAGGGGGAGAGTTTTTATTGCAGTTCAATGGGCAGAGCTCACTGTGGTCAGACATTGTCAGCAAGAACTCCTGGACTTTTCTTGTACAAATTCCTCATCACGCTCTTCTCTCGGTGTGTTTAATGGTGGGTCATTGTTACTGTTTGGTGGCCTGATGGGTTTCTCCCTCTAAATCCAAGGGATGAAGCAGGTCCTGCTGTCCTTGGGATTATCCCCTCTTGATGAGCGATGACCTCGGGACTGGAGACCGCTGACCTGCAAGCAGAGAGAGGGGGGTGTCAAAGGTTCCTCCAGCTCAATTTGGATTGATGAACCAGAATAATTCCGGCAGCAGGGCTCATGGAATCGGCCTCACCAGCAATCTTTCTCAATGTTTGTGTGAGGTGCAATATTTTGGCAATGTTTTACTTATACTATCTCTTTTCCACCGTAGGTGCTTATCACCTGGATTAGTCACTAGATTAGTTGTTGCCAGAACATCACACAGTTACCATTGAACAGACGGTGTTCACTGGCTACTCTTTCCTGCATTTACGCTCTAATTTGCAAGAATCTTTCACTTAAGATGCCTCCCAGTTCTTTATTGTCACCAAAACTCTGAAACTGCTCCAAGGCCCTGCTCAATTCTTCTCCTCCAAGAAACCTCCTCCAAATCCATCTACCTCACTGATGGCTTCTTCATTACAAATTCCTTACACTGATAATAACAGCATTTCTTTAAAACATTATCTAATTGTTTACTTGAATAAGTAATATCATATAGCTCAACATTTAAATGTATACAGCATGTACAAATAATCAAAGCGAAAAATGAGGGGTTTTTTTTGTTCCAGCTTCCCCTTCCAGAGATATCTTAACATACATACGTGCTTTTAAAAATCCATCAACAATACATAAGAATGATTGTTAACATATATTAGCAGTTACATAAGAGATACTATGTTAAGCACTTGATAGAATTATGTCATTGAGTCCTCTCAATACCTTTATGAGATGGGTACTTATACATGTTTCACAAATGAGGAAATGAAGGCTCAGGAAAGTTAAGTAACTTGTCCGTGACCACACCGTTATAATGTGGTAGAATTGGAATTTGACCTCCGGATGTTTGACAAGATTAAAGGGTATTTAGAAATGAAGCCATGTGGTATAGCTGAAAAAACTTGCACTTGGGGATAAAATTCTGGCTATGAAACTTACTAGCTATGTGACCCTAGGTAAGTTTCCTAAACAAACTGAGTCTCCATTTCCGTATGAGCTGGGAGTGTTGTTAGCATTTCCTTATGGGGAAATGCTAACCTCGAAGAGAGCTGGGAGAGGAAATAAAGAACGTAAGGCACCTGGCACTTAGAGGCATTCAGAAATGAGAGCTACTTTATCAAGAGCCACGTCTTTTCAATCTGCACTTTTCAGCTTCAGCGGCCCCATGCAGAGCAGGAGGACACACCCAGGTGATGTCTGGCGTAGCACAGATCTAGCCTGTGGGTGGCAGGAAAACCCCACACAGAGGTCCCTGAGAGTAAACACAAGGCAATAGGCTCTTGCACCTAATGCCCATGGGACTAGCTCAAAGGGATGAGTTGTTCATGTGTCGGCTGTTCAAAGAAATGTATGGAACAGTACAAAGACTGGCCTATAAACCTTCTCTGAGCTCAACAAGCAGAAATGTGGTGTGGAGGGAAAGAAAGGCTGGGGAAATGCCCTTAGGGACGTTGCCTGGACCATTCTTCCTCCAGATACCCTCATGGTAGGTAACCCCTTCACCTCCTTCCAGTCACCTCCTCAGGGGATCCTTTTAACTGGCAACCAGCCCCTACCCCCACTTTATGTTAATTTTTTTTCGTAACACTTTTCACCATCTATTATATGATGTTATCATCCTGCTGGCTGCTTTTGTTCCCATTGTCTGACTCGTCCAGAAGGTAAGCTCCCTGAAGGCAGGGTCTTCGTTTTGTTCACTGATGTATCCTAAGCACTTACAACTGTGCCTGGTACATGGTAAGTACTCAGGAAGCATTTGTTGGAGGAATATATTTTTTCAGATAAGGAAATGGAGGCTAAGTGACAGCCCAGGTAAGTTTGCTGGCTGACAGCAGAATCAAGACTAGAATTCAGTTTTTCTGCCCAAACCCCCCAAACCAGTTGTCTTTCTACTAAGTCATTTTTCAGGATAGAGGAGCATATGTCTGGGATTAAGGAATGAGTTGGCTGTTGAGGAATCCAGACAAAACTGGGAATGCATGCATATAGACAAAATAACTGAACCATAAAAGTGACAGCAGGGAAAAAAAATAGATGTGGGTGGTTGTGTTGATTTTTCCCCCCAAAATTTTAAGTACCCGAGACTCTGCTGTCAGTTTACCTAGTGAAATAAGATTCATGATCAAGGCGTGGAGACGGAAATTTCAGACCTCATTATACACAAGCTGAAGATTATTCTTTGCTGTCACTGTGGCATTTGACATGCCAGTGGAAACAAAAGGAAATCTGTCTCAAGCCCCGTTTAGCTTTGACAGATATGGACATGCATGAGTTTGGGGTGCTAGATTTTGATTGGATATTAAATATAGGGCGGGGCTACAGTGTTTTGGACAGGTTCAAGCTTTGGACTGAGGAGAGGGCACAGTCCTCTCATTGCCACATGCAAGTCCCAGCTTGGAGGGCAGAGCCTACCCAGCACAATTATAGCCAACAGCTATAGCTGTAAGCTTGAACCTATGGTCCGAACACGTGGCCCCATGTGCCTGAGTGATAGAGTTCAGGTGCATGTAGTTGAGTAGGATCGAAACCCACAAGAATGTTGTAAACATCTTGATCACGCCCTTACTTTGCCTCGTGGCGTCAGCTATAAAATAAAGACACGGCTTGTGGGCACTGGCGCTGTCCATCAGAGGGGCAGCGTCCCACCGAGACCCAGCTTTCATTCTCTTGTCTGTCTTTTCTAAGCCTTTCATCGCCCCCATTCTGGGTCACTGAACCAGGCTGAGCTGGCATGAGTATGCCATGGCCGTGCCGGCTCCCCACAGTTAAATGTGAGCATGTCCAGAGATGCAGCTGAGGAAGCTACCACCCAGTCAGTTTAGGGCTGAAGCCCCAGTGATGCACCCAGTTTAGTCCAGGACACCCTACTCCCTTCTCTTCTTGATAACCAAGGAGGCCCTCTGCCTTTCCCCAGGCTCATCTTCCACCTGAGCTTGAGGTCACTTATCCCATCACTTATTTCCCCCTTTTTGAATCTTAAATCTATCTTTAACCCTCAACATACGGATATGCTCAAATCTCCTCCAGGCCAAAGCAAGGTAATAAAAACCTTCCAATTATCTCTTGAATCAGTTAACTATTGCTGTGTAACAAAGCACCCAAACATGGTGGTTTAGAGCAATAAGAATTTTTATTCTCACAAGTTGATGAGTTGTGGGCAATCCTATTGCTCTGGGCCAGGCTCCACTGACTTCAGCTGGGCCTGAAATACTGACTGCCCCGCTGGCGGGTCAGGTGATCAAGGACCATCTCACTCAGTGCCTGGCGATGAGCAGGTTATCAGTTGTGGTGAAGTGGGTGACTGGGCCACTGACCAGTTTTTCAGCAAGTCAGCTCAGCCTTATTCTCATGGTGGCTGGGCGGGATTTTAAGAAAGAGAGAGCTGAAGTACCCAAGCCCTTTAGAACTGGCACAATATCCTCTCTCTCTCTCTCTCTCTCTCTCTCTCTCTCTCTCTCTCTCTCTCGGAAAGCAAGTCTCAAGGCCAGCCCAGGAACAAGGAAATAGACTCTACTGCATGATGGGAGGAGCTGCAAAGTCACATCTTGAAGGGAGGGATGAATAATTAGGGTTGGTTTTGCATTCAGTCTCCTAACTCTCTTCGTCCTTAAGCGTTGCCCAGATGTCTCTTTTCATTCACATCCAAATTTCTAGAGAAAGTAGCTGTCTCTTGCTTTGCCAACTTCCTTACCAGCCACTCCTTACTCAGGGTGACCTCACCTTATTACCACTATCTCCATTTTGATGAACCTGCTTTAAAGACAACATTGTCTCAAATATGAAACACTATGAACTACTTTCAGCTTTCATCTTGCTTAACTTCACTGCACAGTTTGACCTATGTGGTCACTCCCACTTGCTCAAAGCTCTCTTCTCTTAACTTTCTGATTCCCTCTCTCCTGGCTCTCCTGCTACGCCTCTGACCATTCTTTCCCAGATTCCTGGACTGGCTCATGTCCAGGCAGCAGGCCTAGAACTCAGCATTGCATAGGTCCAGACGGGTGTTGTACAAAGAAAGCAGCATTTGGTGCTAGATGGTCCTCAGCTCTAAATCCCATTCAATAGCTGGGTGATACTGAGCAAGTTGCTCAACTTTTCTGAGCCTCAGTTTCCTCAACTGTATTACGAGGCTAGTAGTCTTACAGTCCTGGGCTATTATCATGCTTTCAGAGGGCAATCTTGTAAAGCAGCCACCAAAGTTAGTTTCCAACTGAGGACATATGTCACTTCTCACCACGAGACCCACTTTCTCCTAATGTAAAAAGAATTATAAAAAACATTAGAAAATGAGAAGCCCGGTCGGCATGGATCAGTGGTTGAGCATCAGCCTATGAGCCAGGAGGCCACGGTTTGATTCCCGGTCAGGGCACATGCCCAGGTTGTGGGCTTGGTCCCCAGTGTGGGGCATGCAGGAGGCAGCCAATCAATGATTCTTTCTCATCACTGATGTATCTATCTCTCTCTCCATCTCCCTTCCTCTCTGAAATCAAATATATATATATATTTTTTAAAAAAGAACATAACAAGTCCACATTATATGCCAGTCCTAATTCATCCTAAAGAGAGTGCAGGAAGCCCAGCTCCTGACCTGCACATGGGGCAATGTGTACTAGAATATATAACTGAAGAGAAACACACCTGGAAAAAATACAGGCCAATGTAATAAAACAACAAATGAAACATTTGCATATGCTTATTCAGGGAAATGCAGGCAGTTGACGTTTGGAAAGGACTCTGAGGCAATAGAATGGAGTCTAGCCCTCCCGCACATGAATATCATGAGGCCCCACAGCCTCCAGAGCCATTGTGGTCATGCTAAGAAGACCATGCCCAGACTGCCTCATTAAAACTGTCTTAACCATAGCTCTACTACCCACGGAAATCTGTTTTCTTCTCTCTTCCTGTGATATCATCCCAGTTGCCTTGAATAGAGGCTCTCAAATAAACAACTTTGAAGTATAATTAATAATGTTCCCTCTTAGTTTCCTACTTGA